TGAATATTACAACATGTCGACGTAAAGCCTGACAACGAACTAAGTAGAAACAATAATATTCGCTTCTATGTGTTGTTTCAAACTTCATGAGTATTTTTATATTTTAATGTATTATTAATGAGCAGAATAATTTTTTAATGGTGGTGTTTGATAAATCATTTTCAAATCATTTGAACAATCACTGAAATGTCTCTTACGAACTGGCGGGTTTTTTTTTCCACTCTATTCATCTTGTATAGTCAGTTACTGGTTGTTTGATTTTGTTTTATATACAGAGAACAAATGTTTATTTCCCAGTTGTGTCTCACAATTTTTTCATATTATTGAGTTGAGTTGACACAAAAATTGAAATTTATTATCCTTGTGAAAAATCTGGACTAAATGAAACCAGACAACATATTGTTTTTATAAGATTATTATGATTTATCTGATTTTCTCATAGTGCTTCAAAGCAAAAGAATGTATTTAACGTCTTTAAAAAATACATATTGAGAACAAAATAACTTGTATATGGTTGTAGTGTAAACGAGTTCATCTTTATTACACTATGTATGGCAATAATTTACAATAGTTGTGAAATTCGAAAACCTTCACAAATCACATTTAAATTACAAACCAATAGACATTTATTAAAAATTGGAAACATTATATGAACGTTTCGAGTTAATATGAAACACCTCACCGTTACCTATCAACAACTCCACATCTAATAGTTGACACCAGGACCACTGGGCCATAATTCAGTAGTGTACAAGTTTAACTTCACTCAATACACTACAATACAAAACTATCAAACCTGATCACTAGTGAGTATGTGATATTTCTGTATGAGGTTGTGGAGATCGTTGAATTCCATTGAATTCATGAATTGATCTAGGTTTCCAATGGTGAACATCTCAATGTTCAATATTCTTATCTTTAATTCTTCTCTTTATCAAGTACAATTAATGGATAGGTGAATTTTGCATTTTAATTAGCTTTTTGTGTTTTCATGTACATAAGCTTATATCGGTAAGTATTTTTTTTAACTCAGATTCAGTAAAATAACTAAAGTATATATATATATATATATATATATATATATATATATATATATATATATATATATATATATATATATATATATATATATATATATATATGAGCCTTCAGGAATTATTGTTTTTCTACAACAGCTAAAATCCATATACCTCAGAGATATTAGTTTATAGGGTGGCCCAATGTTTTACCGTTATTTTTAGTAGATAAATCAATCACACTTAATATGAAGTAAAACACAAATCCTGTGTGTTGTAATTTACCTATCATATATCAGTTGCTGTTTTCATATTTCATCATTACTTTAATTCTATTGTTATGGCAATTAATTTCTTTTTCCCTTTCTGTTCTGTTCAATTGAATCTTCTCAATCTTCTGCTGGCATACATTTGACTTTCGATCAGTTTTACATAATACTTATACCTGTCAACATAAATAGCATGCACCACAATAGCATCATTGATGAACACTCCAGTAAGAAGTGCATCAACAATGAGTTACGTAAGACAGAATATTTAAACATATATATATTTTGATAATTGCATTGATCACTAATGTCCTGTTTAGATTTGCGTATAATCGCAAATTTCTGTGACCTTTAAAATGATCTTGATGCAATTTTGTCCTCTTTCACTCAATTGAAACGCTCTAAATGTGAATAAATCATTTATAGTACGAAAGGAAGAGACGTAAAAGGTCCCTATTATTTTTAGATATTTAACAAATTCATTCTAGACTGCCATCTGACTCGAATATCTGATAAAGACATTCATCAATATTATAACCATATTTGATTCTCCCATCAAAGCCTATAATGCTTGCGAGTTGGTGCTTAAGCAGGCCTATAAACCATCAACATAATTTTTATACAATCCCGTTATGTAATTAACAAAAAAGACGTTTACGTATCATAGAATGTTGACTGCAAGAGTAGTGGTCTTCAAATAAATAAAATTCTTGAAATGTCCTATATTCAGAACCTCATCCTATTTATAACTATAGACCATGAATAAGTCATTAAAATATTTGTTAACTGTAATATTTTTGACCTGAATTCCTTTCTTTTTTTCTCATTCTACATAAGGATGAGGATATGAACTTAGATCATGAGACTTTTGTTTTTACAACTGATAATCATTTTCTCATGTATCAAGATTATTCGTTCTACTAATTTTTAAAGGAAACATAAAAATTGTTATTGAATATGACATTGATACAAAAGTAACAATATCAATTCGTATTCAAAATAACCAAACACTAGATAAGTGTCACATGGAAATGTATAAAGTCAATAAAATCTTTCATACAAAGAAATAAATGATGCTTACTGAAGTTGAAAGCAAAAGATCTAAATGATGAAAAAACAAAGTTATCTTGAGATGAATTTATTAAAAGCCATACTTTTTAAATAGTTCAAAGAATCATTATTGATATAAAAAAATATTGGAATCAAATTCATACTGGTCAAAACTCCAAATATTAATAAAATACGTGATGGATATATCTAACTTTAGATAGTTATTTATTGTATAGTGATAAGATAATTATAGTGTAAACAAAACATGTAACCCACTTTATGTATGTAGAGAACTTCAAAAAATAGTGTTTTATTTTGTTATACTATTCTTAGTTGTTTGTATTGTCTTAAATGAAAACCTATGATTTCATTAATTTCACTGGATTATAGCGTCTAGTAAGATAAATGAATGTTCTCAATGAATCAAGCTAACAGTTTATCAGTTGCTTTAATGCTATTTTTACTTACTTACTTACTTACGTCTGTTACTCCCAATGGAGCATGGGCCGCTGACCAGCATTCTCCAGCCCACTCTGTCCTCTGCTTTCCTTTCTAGTTCTACCTAACTGTCGTTCATTCTTCTCATGTCCGTCTCCGTTTCTTGGTGTAATGTGTTGTTCTTTCGTCTTCTTCTTCTCCTTTGGCCTTGAGGATTCCATATGAGGGCTTGCCTTCTGACGCAGTTGGGTGCTTTCCTCAATGTGTGTCCTATCCACTTCGAGTGCTTTATCGTGATTTCTTACTCCACTGAAATCTGGTTTGTTCTCTCCCATAATATGTTGAATGCTATTATTAGATTCAACTAGCTGTTCGCTAATTGAATATATATATATATATATATATATATATATATATATATATATATATATATACCTGTTATTTAATTTAGATGAATAAGCCATATAATATATAAAAGCTTATTGATTAATATCACCTACATTAAACAAATCATAATCTATAATGAGCTATATTATAGAATGAAGATAGTTTTTCTTTTATCGATCTTTATTAGCGTAGGGGATTTTCGGAAATAGCGGATCATTTTTAGATTACACCAATTGAAAAACTTATGAAAATTAGGATAGATCTATTTATCATTTCATAGAGAGATAAAATAAAGGTATGATGGTAAACAGTTTTCATGAGATAAAATGTTTTCTCACGACGAATCTTTACTGTTATAAAGGCTATGATGTACCGACATCTTTTGCTACAGTGTTTTCTTCTTTTAGTAAAGACTGTTTTTATCTAGTTTCTTTAAAGCAGATAGTGTTAAACAATTTATAAATAAAAAGAATTACAATTCGCCCCCAAATGCCCTGATACGGCCGAGAGTGGGAAGGACCAACTCTCTCCCTCTCGAAATACTCTCACATGGCCATGTGCATATAACCACTGCCAGGGACATCCTACTCAATGACTTCTCGTACCACAGGTGTCGTTTACGAAATGGAGAAGACGAAAATCGAATGTCCGGTGATCTAACCGGGTTGGTGAATATAGAGAGTTCACTTAGAGGAGTTTTAAAACACTGACTTCAAACCAATAGTGCACATGGGCTCCAGGATTCTGAGGGAATATATGGCTTATGAACCAATTGTTGGTCACCTGATACCATGGAACTGCATCTCCTTACGATGCTAAACTGCCTTGTGGGTCAGACCTATAGGTCAAAGGCTCGCGGTGTAGCCTTCTATACAAACCACCTGCTTTGGTCTGGGCATCCGGAAAATATCACAGCACTCACACAAATCAAATGAGATTTGTGTGGCGCATATCTATTTGATGCCTCCTTGTACCAATATCTATGTGTTCAAATAAATAAATAATAAAACATCAGTTTCAGGTAAGTAAGTTCTAAAAAAAGTTTTATCACTATGTGCTATTCAAAATTGGTGTCAAAAGACTTCAATTTTAAGTTACTTATAGATAAAACAAATATATTTGACCAATATACAATTTTATATTTAAATATACTAAATGATTTGTAATCCATAATTATCATTATCAATTCAATAAGAGCTGATTGCTGTAATTTCATGTACTAGCTAGCACTACTGTTGAAGTAATATTATTAAAACATAAATATTGTTCGTTTTCCTCTAGGATTTGTATACGTATTACCTTCAACTTATGTTTATGTTTTGACTGAAGATTCTTTAGTATTAATTGACTGTGAAACGAAGTTGAACGTCCAATAAAATGTTTGATTGTTTTAATTATTAATTCTATACTACTTCTCATTGAAAAGAAACTTGAAGATTTACCAAAATATCCTTTGTATTTTAAAGGCATCAATATATTATACGATACCAAATCAACTAAATTATTGTTATTATTATTATATACATACGTATCCTTATCCATTCATCCATCACTCATCTACTCTCTGGAAATTTCGTAATAATATTTTATGTACTAGACTATTACGATGAAAATGAATGCCTGTCGACATAAGTAGTATGCAACACCAATCAAAAGTGGAATGTCGAGCAGCAGATAGTTGAGATGAAGTAGAAGACAACAGAAATGAAGTAACGATGAAGTTTATCGGATACAATTAATGGAAGTTGTGCAGATGATGTAGTTAATGTACAGTTTTCATATTTTATGAATACATTTTGTAATTTTACATGAAATAATCAAATTGGTCTTTTCCACCTGAATGCTTGCTCAATACTTTACTACTACTACTACTACTACTACTACTACTACTACTACTACTACTACTACTACTACTACTACTACTACTACTACTACTACTACTACTACTACTACTACTACTACTACTACTACTACTACTACTACTACTACTACTACTACTACTACTACTACTACTACTACTACTACTACTACTACTACTACTACTACTACTACTACTACTACTACTACTACTACTACTACTACTACTACTACTACTACTACTACTACTACTACTACTACTACTACTACTACTACTACTACTACTACTACTACTACTACTACTACTACTACTACTACTACTACTACTACTACTACTACTACTACTACTACTACTACTACTACTACTACTACTACTACTACTACTACTACTACTACTACTACTACTACTACTACTACTACTACTACTACTACTACTACTACTACTACTACTACTACTACTACTACTACTACTACTACTACTACTACTACTACTACTACTACTACTACTACTACTACTACTACTACTACTACTACTACTACTACTACTACTACTACTACTACTACTACTACTACTACTACTACTACTACAATAGTTATAATTAATATTATTAATATTGGTGTTTCTAAAGGAGACCATATAAAACAGTAAACCGTATAGGTTGATGATGTTATTTTATGTTTAAATAAATGAATTTTACATATTAGTAAAATATTTTGATAAACCTGAAGAAACCAAGATATGTAAATAAGAAAACATCTGTTGAAACTTTGCCCTAGATACGCTTCATTAATTTTTTCTGGCACCTAATCGTTACATGATACTTCAAGTGAGAATAGATGCGAACGATAATTTGCTTCCAATAGTTAGGAATATTTAATACATATGTGTAATTATTTTTGAATTCATTGGTATTGATTAAATCAAAAATTCAGATCCCGTAAATAAAAAAAATAACTAATTAGAGTTTTAAAAAGTATCTAAGCTTTACTTTATACACGCTAATAAATATTAGATCACTTTTATAGAGTTGTGGAATGTATTAAGTTTTACTGAAATCACGAAACGACCTTAGTCAGGTATTCATTAAAGACTAGGGGGGAGTTAATAAATGCTTCATCATCTTATGAGAATCCCCAGAAGTGCATATCCACAAACTGCCAAATGAAGAACGAACATAACACCGGTTTCTCAAGCAAACGCCTAACTTCCAAACCCCTGCACAGACATTTATCATTGTACAGACCAATATATATGTTCACAACGCTATGTCGTGAGACCATATTCCGTCGCTTTTGTTAGATACTTTTCTCGAATCTGAGATGGCTGTACTCAAATGGTCATGAATTCCTATGATTATTATCAGGATGCACGCTGTGCTCTTTAGTGACTAACTTCAAGAGGATATCTCAGAAGCTCTACTAAAAAGTTTCACATTATGAAAAAAGACATGTCCAGTGCTTCCTTATTTTTCGTAGACGTTTAACTTGATTCGCATTAAGATCTCAGTAAAGTACTGTATTACATTAATAGAATGTATAAATTGTTACTCGTTCGCTTCTCACTATTTCGTCTTTTTCTGGAGTGGTAATAAAACTTTTGCTTCATATGATAGAATAAAAATATCAGTTATGTTAGTAAATAGTCTACATCATAGATTGATCTCAGTGGGGGTTTGAGACCTTGACACTTTTTCTCTAAGTGAAACTGTGATCACAAGTAGCGTTAGATGGCAGGCGAACTTTAGGTTGACGGAATTCGAAAATCCAAACCACTGAATGTAACGGTCAAGCGATTACCTCTAGAAATGAAATATTTTTCCCAGTACAATAAAGTACCTTTCTAGAAGAGTAAATCTTTACTGGAAATATATTTCATCCAACAATTAATTATGCATTCATGTGTAAGTCTAACAATATCCGTTGACAGAAATACATATTTTATTTGACTCATTCATTAATTTATTGATGCAATAAACATCAATTATATTACAGGTAATAAATGTAAGAATAAAGTTAGTATTGAAATATTGTGCGTTCAAAAGTAAGTACTTTTATGTTGCTTAATAAAACAATCTTTTTAAACTTACTACTAAAGTACATCTATCAGTGATTCAATACTTGATACAACTTAATCAAACATCAAGTGTAATTTATTTACTACAAATTTCACTCTGATTGTGGATTACATTCTAATTTCATAGATTCCTCAGTTTTGATATATTTCCAATTGTTCATAAAAGAAATTAAACAATAGTAATTCTGAATGACTTGAAATACAACTCAAAATCAACTCTCAGAGCTCCACAACAGTTGCCATCATAAATATCTACAATGGGAATGTAATTGAGTGATGTGATGTGATAACGTAAACGCGTAATCACACGACTCTTAATCACCTGGTTTTAATTGCATATCTTGTTATCCCTACTTCAGTGTATTCATATAAATGGTGGTACTATCTACTCTATTAAATATATAGCTCAAAGTCGAGTATCTAAATGTGCACATGCTCAATAATTTAGAACTCAATTACAAACTATACATTGTAACGTTGTAGTTCATGTGACACTTTATATATACAGAATCAATCTTGAATAATTTGTTTATTGTTTCCAGGTTTTCCATGGTGGTCTAGGTTCAATTGACTCATGACTTCAACTAGTGAAATTTCTAAAATCTTCACAAAACCCCTTCTCATAATAATCATCTGCTCACTAGTGATTGACTTCAAGAGACGTTTCCTCTAGTTCAAGTTAGAAGCTGTGACCAGTGGAGTTCAACCAGGTCTGTTGTCATATATCAGCTCACTGAAGACAATGGTGTACGGTGGCGCAATTTCATGGATTGGTTGAAGTTAGACATTTACACCGTTGGTTGCTGGCTCATTGGTCTAGTGATTAAGCGTTCGCGTATGAGACTAATAGATGTTGTTTTCGAATCTCGCGGGGGGCAGGATTGTGGATGCGCACTGCTGAGGAGTCTCATACTAAGACGAAACGGCCGTCCGATGCTTTCAGGTTTTCCATGGTGGTCTAGCTCTACATGACTTATGATTTCAACTAGTATAATTCGAAATTTCCAATCTCTCTACTAGGTAGCTATCGGTTTCGTAAAATGAATACAAGATGTAAAGTTAAAACAAACGAACAAACAAACATATCTCTTTGGCCAGTTTTTTTTATTACTGTCCCAGATAAAATCAATTAAATTCAGAGGTAACATTGTGTTTTTTATGATTTAGTAAATTTTTTTTGTTATTTATTGCATCATCTTTTTTTCCTTGTATTATTAGCTGAAATTCAATACAAAATAGGTAATAAGATTTGCGTGACTGGTTGTTTATAAAACTAAGAGAAAAACTTTGAAATATATCTGAAATACTAATAGTTTAATGACAATGAACTTTATATTAAAATCAAAATTTCCCCCTAAAAATAAAGAAACAAAAAAAGCTAACATTTCCCAATAGATATATATTTAATGTTATTACTGACCCGAATATGTATAAATAGATTTGACATGAATTTTCTGACTGTATTATTTTCAAGGGTCATTTATAATTTGAAGCATATAGTTTATAAATGTGATATGGTAAATGAGAACTAACAATTTGTCATGATATTTTTTTCTTTTATCAATTGGTCAAGCTTACTATTTTGCTTTCATTGATGAAACAATATGAAATATTTATGTTTCAGTATGTTGTTCATGTGAATTATCCTATAATTCAGACGGACTGCTTGAATATCTAGGTTACCTGTTCCTGCTATTTGGATATTTCAACAAGTCATCTGTTTTCTAATTTGTTTTAACCTATCATTATGCCTATTAGTTTCATAACTTATTCAGGTGTGTTTGTGAAAAGTTTATGACAATTTGCTATACAATTTACAAAAGTGCCCAATCGGAGACATTGTGTTTGCTGATGATATGCATCGAAAAGGATACATATTATTCACATTTCAATTCCTGAACTGCTAACATTTAACTGGCCACCACTCAATATTTATCTTAAGAATCGATCAAGAAATAAGAAACAGAAACTTGTTGAATTACTTTGTTCTGAGAATTCTGTATTGTACGAAAAATATAATATTGAATAAAGCCAATAATAATAACTAATAATGATAATGTTCTGTATAAAAACTACTTGGGAGTAAAAGAAGTAAACTTATTTGAATCTCATAAGATGTAATGTGTATACAAATGATAAATTTACTTATATTTTGTGAATTAGTCAGGTCAACAAGAACCAATCAACGTCGAGGTCTACAGGACGAGCTGTGAGAAATTCGAACACTTCACTTCTACCTGAAGTTTGTGCTGCTAATGATGATGAGGAAGGCTCCACGACCAAACCATCCAGCTCAGAGAGCAAAACTCCATCATAATCAGTGTCATATTAAGGATGAATAAAAAGATTATGAATAAAAATGTTTAACAAATTGTTATCAGTGAACGTTGTCGAAAAATGTACAATTGTGGTGCGTGCTACTTATATCGATATAAGTAGTATGTGACGCGAGTCAGGAATGTAATGTCTGGTAGTAGAAGATGGGGAAGATCAAGAAAGGAAGAGCGGAATAGAAAGTAATTAGTATGAAAATGCAAGAACAACGAAGTTCTAGACAATTATTGGACATTTTGCAAATTAGGTATCATAGTATGATTTTTCTATTTTACCTAGTAACTGAAATTTGTGCTCACAGCTGAGTGGTTTAGTCGAGGAGTTTTCACTGGTCTTCTGAACAACATCATCTGCACAAACTTCAGATAAAATTCTGACGTTTATACTTACGATGTTATTCAGAAGAAAAATAGAAGCTCCACGACTAAACCACTTAGCCCAGATAACGAATCTCCAACAACATAAATCTACTCATTAATGTCGCATCTAAGATTAGATATACGTGTATATTATGATCTTCATTTTTCATCCTAAACATACTTTCTGTTGGTAAAAAATATATCGAATATTGCACGTAAACTGATGACAAATATCTCAGTTTATTGAAGTTCAGATACGCAACTTGAACCGGGTACTGACTTATGAAAAACAATTTGTAAACCAATATGCAATAAATAATGTTAACACAGTTTTAACTTTCATTGAAACTTCGGAAATTACTAGTCGCAGACTGTTTGTAATTTTGCGATAACAATACATATTCATATTCAATGTTGCTTTATAATCCACAGTTTATACATAGATGTATTATAGTGTCGGTTACTATGTTTAGCCTATATAACTTATTCTAGCATCTGGATAGGCCAATTTATCCAGTCTTCTTGAGTTACGTTTGACCTTGTTAATCTTTCTCTTGTCAACTTTAACTGTTTTTATATGAGCGTGTGTGTACATCTTATCCTACTCATCATATATCTGTAGCTTATTTTTGTGTGACTTGATTAAATCGGGTCATTTCGCTTCACTCTCTCCTCTCCGCTTATTTTGCTTCGTCCCTCTGATTGTCTTCCCAGATCAATGAGTGTACAAAATATATGTATTCAAAAATCCATCCTTGTTTTTGACTTATTTAATTCCGCTATTCACCGACGCGGTTTAATTCGGTGATTATAAACGTAAATAGGCGACATATGTATTTCAATAACAATCCAACATGTGATATAATTGGACTCAGATCTCGAATCACTAAGTATATTGAGCTTTTCTTTATATCTGATTACTATTTATTTTGTAAACTTGATTTGGTCTTCGTCGGTGATTTGTTATTTTTACATTTAAATGTCAATAAACAAATTGTGTAATACAATCTGCTATACGTTCGAATGAATGCTGTTTTAAAATAAGAACAAACTGTTAGTAGACGAAATCCAATCTTATTCTCTTTACTTCAACCTATACAATGAACTTTATCTCCGTACTACCATCAAAATAAAATCACAGAAAAGCCTACAGGCCATATATTACTTGCCACGCCCACATATATTTTATAATTCCTTGAACCATTAGGTCAAGTGATTTACACCACTAGCATGCTTAAGAAAGATTCACTGGATAAATACACTTAAGAGACTTTAAAGCTAAGAATTATTAAATTACGTGTATACTGAATTACGGTGA